TCATCGTACTACAGGAAACTAATGGATTACTATCTGTGTTCTTGTGCGGCTGGGTAAAGCCGATCACTTTCGATTTTACTTTTGATGCAGAGAATGCTGGCTCAGGATGACTAGCTGAGACAGCTAGTTACACCGGACAAGATTCATCAAAAATAAACAGATTGTTCGAGCGGTCTCGTTAATATTAAAATCATTGGAGAAGCGCACCGGGTGGGCCCGTGCGACCATGCGTTTTTGCAATATTTCGTACCGTAATGAGATCGCTCGGGAACACAGTAGATAGAAATCTGTGATATACTAATCTTCGAAGTCCGGGAAGCTAAAAATCTACGCAGTATTTGGACAGGGAACATTCTGTTCAAATTTCAGCTTTCCAAATTTTCCGATTCTTGAGCTAGAAACTTTCCTGCCAAAAATTTTCACGGGGCTGTACGTGAGTACCACACAAACTGAAGGGCTGAATTTGATGAGTTATACTTGTGCTAGGAACATCCTCTAAAAATTTCAGCCTCCCAGCTTTCCTGGTTTTCGAGTTAGCCATTTTCCCCCAAAAATTTTCACGGGATCGTACGTGAGAATCACGCAAACACGAGGGCTGAATTTGATAGATTTAAGCTATACGTGTGCTAGGAACATTCTCTGAAAATTTCAGCCTTCCAGCTTTCCTGATTCCCATGCTTGCGATTTTTGCGCCAGGAACTGTCACTGGGCCATACGCGGGAACCACATACATCTGGGGGCTGAATTTGAAATATTTGAATTTTATGCGGATAGGGAAAACAACCTCAAAATTTCAGCTTTCTAACTTTACTGGTTCACGAGTTGGCGATTTTCCCGTCGAAACTTTCACCCTCTCGTACGCGGATCCCAGACTTGCGTGAGGGTTGGTACCAAGGTCTTGAGCGGCATTTGGCCGAAGAAGCCACTGGTAGCATTTTGGCGCTGGAGCTTGCTTGGGTGCCGAGTTGACATATCCGGGCACACACATACACACCGGAATTGTCACAATATGCGTCTTTGCTGTGCAACACTATAGCAGTGCTGCTACAGCCGGCAAAAACGCATATACTCGAGAAGCTGTCTTTGTGTGTGTTCGGAAGCGAGTGCATTTTGTCACTCACTTTCATCTCAGCAACCAGGAAAGCTGGGAGGTTGAAATTTTGAATATATGTTCCTACTCCGTGTGTCACCCTCCCGTTTCAAGATCTTCTCTCACATGCGCCTAGACTCGCGTACGGATCTCCGAGAAATATATGCAATTTTCTTCGGCGGGAAACAATTTTGCGAACCAGGCAAAGTACAAAGCTGAAACTTTGCAGAAATATTCTCTGTGCATGTGCGAGCTAAAGATTTCGTTTGTGTAGCGCGTACGATCGCGTCAAAGTTTGTAGCTTGGTACTGCGCTAACTCGAAAACTTGTCGGAAATCAGTGACTGAAGTTTTGTCAACATATTTGTCGCCTATATGGGAAATTGTACACCTAAAATGAGCACCGATTTGCACTTGCGCCACAACTTAGGGCGCTTGTAGCGAAATGGATGTTTTGCTTACCGGATAAGCTGCGAGACTCAAGATTCATTGGAATATTTCAAGTCCGGTCTTAAATCTACTTGGAAGTGAAATTCACTGCAGGTGGGAAATTCCATGCGGCTCTATAATGCAACACCCTCAACCCAACCGGTGCCCTTTCTGCTGCATGTCGGAAGAAATCAGAGCACGCCAATATGAATCCAAGTGTTAGGCTGCAGCGCAGGAGTCATTCCTGCTATTAGCGGCCCGCAAGTTTAGCACAAAAACGCATGATCACACAGGCAAGCCTGGTGCATTCCAGCCTAGGTTGCACTTGCATATAAGCAAAAACACATAAAAACCTAGGTAGAAAGGCACCAGACTTGTCGATGCAGTCATGCGTTTTTGCACCACACTTGAAGTATTCAGGTCGATAACTGCATGAATGGTGTTGCTCTGCACCTACCTCTTGCGCTCACTAGCGTAAATCACCACAAAT